GGAAAGAGGAAAAATCTGACCTATGAGTCAGGGTTAATGCACAAAACTGACTTAAGGATTAATTTAAGGACTATTAAAAGCTCTCTACAGGCACCCAGCTCCAAATCACAGGTCTTCAAAAGCCTATGCTCAAATTTCTTTCACCAAACTGGGAGGATGCAAAGCTCTATGGACATGCTAGAGCCCAGCATGAAGGTCAGAGGGCACATGTCATGTAGTGAAGCCAGAGCCAATTTGCAGAGCTAGCTTAGGTTATTCCAGGGTTTACACACTTAGTGCTATGCTGTAAGACCTGCTTAGAAAAAGGCCTCAGAAGGCTGGAAAGCCCATTCCTGAGTCACCTAGGAGTGGACACTCCCAGAGAGATTACAGAGGTCTTAAAATGAAAGGACACCATGTAAATATGCAGCTGTTGTTCTTATCTAGTTAAGGTTAAAGTCACCTTCATTTCCTGCTATCAGTTTAATTTTCCACTTGCCAACTGCTCTGTGCACCAGGGATAGCAGCTGTGGGACCAGTGGCTATAAAGACATCACTGTTCCCTGTACATTACTGTAGCAATTTAATGATCTACAGGAATTAAAGACAGAAATGTGAATCAAAGAATTCAGCTTCATTATACTCTGTTGACCCATATTCCTGTTTCCACCATGTCTGTTCTTCTCTATCTTGGTAGTGCTAAACCCCTTTAAAATAAGTAACTGCAGCTGCATTCCTGTCCTCCTCTGTCCCATCCAGGTGGTCACATGCACAGCAAATGCTCTCAGCATATTCTTCCCCATAGTAGAACATGGATTTTCCTACATTTGGCATAAAGATAGGTTTGGGAAGTTTGTTCCACTCCTGCTTCTGTCCTGAGCTTTCAAGTCACCCTTAGGATTGTATCCCGTGCTTTTTCCTAGGAAACTCATGCTGTCACTGGAGGCTGAAGCATGGGACATTATTCACATGTTTGTTCCAGAAGTAGTTTGGAGTTTTTCTAATGCTAATCTGAGACATTTACCTTTGTTTTGGCTTACAGTAAATACAGAGGAATGTGGACAGGAAAAACTTTGTGAGGGGCAGGAATTCCAGTCAGGAACTTACAGACTGTTTTAAGTACCGTTGCAGAAAAACTTCAACACAAGTGTCAAATATCTTCAGCTTCCCATGATGGAGGTGGAGGAAGAAGAGGAGGAAGGCAGTCCAAACCATCACTGGACTGTTAGGAATTTCTTTGGGAGGTCCACAAATGATCAGAGTTTTGCTAATTATTCTCATTTTGGCTGGCCACAAATTTTCCAGGGCTACTGTTTGTGGTCCCTTTTGAATGATATCACCTTTTCACTTGAAAAAATCCCTTGAGGCAAAGCCCATAATGTGGCTGGTAGTTCCGCTTCTGGTTTCAGTGAACCTCTCGTGAACCTGACAAATCTCTGTCAAGAAAGCTGACAGCAACCCTGAACCATGACAGAAATGTTACAGAATCACAGAATCACAGAACG